CCGCTCAGTCCGTTGCAACATAGCTTTCGTAAAGGCTGACCAGTTTACTGATGTCACGAGAACGGTAGGCGGACTCTGTAGACTGGGTCATGCTGTGGATACTGTTTTCATAGACTTTGCTAAAGCATTTCATATCGTCCCGTATTCTCGCCTTTCATTGAAGCTGCACTCATATGGACTATCTGAGCAGATAATTCGATCGGTTAACTGCCCAGTCGCTTGCACAGTTCGTCAAATTGCTACGCAATACACGAGATTGGTGTTCACCAGATTGTTAGTTTCCACCAGTTTCTGAAACCCCCGTCCATCGAAAACATTGGCTGACTCGTTAGAAACATTCTGTAGCCGAAATAAAAACAGAACCTGTTTTGAAGGTGCATACACCGTCCGCGTTAGCAATCAACGCTCATCAGTTTGCCAGTGCCGAGAAAAATCAATTCCTCTTTTCGTCCTAGCTCCAGTTTTTGTATTCATTCCAGGTAGAACCACTTATTGAATTCAAGATACACCTGCTGCAGGATATTAGATCCGAGTCGGACAAATGTAGTGCGAATTTCATGGCAACTCTTAACAAGTCATTGATCGACATGCACACAATCGGTTGATGTGCGTGTTATCGTGCCAAAGTGTGCTTGCATTTTCCATTATACAACTTCGCGTACATCTTTGCATCAGAATTCCAAAGAATTCCCGCTGCATCCTTACTGTCAATGTTGCTTTCCGTTGCGTGGATATCAACGTTCGCCGTACCAATTTCATCTTCGGTCTCAGCATGACTATCACGCACATTTTTGTCACTTCAGTCATGGAGGTAATTTTGATAAATTTACGCTTGGAACTGAACAATCATGTGTACTAAAAATACCGTTACTTCGTTTTATAGCGCTTGTCGAAATGATTCTACGTTGTTAAACGTGGTACTGACAGAACGTCAGATACAGACAAGCGACGTTTTAAAGTCATTATTACCATCTATCTGAGCTCAGGAAAGGTATCTTGCGAATGCGCAAACTTCTCACAATTGGGGTTTTCAAAATGTAGCCGTGCGAACATCGGAAGGCTATAAACTATCTACCCTGAAGAGATCTTCGACGCACAAGGATACGTAAATAATAATATTGCCGTTCACATTCACTATGTGGTGCATCCCCTGGCTCGCACACTTGATCCTTGGGTTCACTGTGAATATGTTGTTGCATTTACACCGACACCGACAATTGTCTACACCGCACACAGGACACAGTGTCCCCATAAGCGAGGTGCACAGTTTTGTCATTATTTTGCCAAACGGATAAGAAGGATAGAATGCTTTTGAAGACGTCCGGGTAATATACCAGCGGAATAGTATAATACGTGACGATGAATACATGCCGTTAAAGCACGGAAAGACGGAAAGCAATTTGAGCCTGAGAGCCTTCTAACCATTGTTAAAGTTTGTAGAATATAGATTATTGGTGGTTGTTGTGAGTAGTATAAGTCTCGTAGAAAGTAGAAGTCACGACTAAACTGCACAATAATCTGCCTCGACGTGGAATCGAACCCCGGACACACGGATTATCGGTCCGCTGCTCTAACATTGAGCTACCGAGGACTGACGATCAGGTGCGCAATTTAATACATGACTTCAGCTTGCTTCGCGACGTATTGCCAATAAGCTCACAATATCTGTCCTGGTGTTGCAGATTGGCTCCTCACTTCCCAATGAACCGAAGTATCTGTTCTCCTGATGTCCAAAGGACGACGGTAAATGTAGATTATTGGTGATTTTTTGTGAGTAGTGTAAGTTTCGTAGAAAATAGAAGCCACGATTAATAGAATAGGTTTGGGCCGAGAAATTATGAGATAAGAAAATTCGAGATAGTTTACGGCAGGGAAGGAAGTATGCTTTGATCAACCACAATCATGGGAAGGGAAATATGTACAAGGGACCGAGGTCTCTTGAGATGTAGTAAAAAGAAGGTAACGTCACCCATGGCGAAGTGGCACTAAGTGCTAGCATCCAAAAGTCATGGGGGCGGAACCTGGCAGGGGTCCAATGGAAGGCGCACCAATGAAGAGACCCAGAAGGTTGAAACACCGGTGTCTGGTGCTTTTTCAGACTTGGCAAAGCCTGCTGTTTGAGAGTGACCATGATGATTTATCCGAATGACACAAAAATCCCCACTGCTCATTGGTAATATAAAAATCTGTCCGTATAGCTTCCAAGTCCTATGTCGTATATAGGCGCTATGCGGAAGGTCCTAGCTCGTGGGGCTAACTGCTGTCCTCCGCACAGTTAGTAACTGGCATGGTAGTGGAAGATGAGTAGGGCTATATCATAGTCAACTGTCAAGCACGCTGGTCCGCGGCTGTCAAGCATGGCGAAGTGGCACTAGCTGCTGGTATCCGGAAGTCATGGGGGCGGAACCCAGCAGGGGTCCGATGGAAGGCGCACCACTGACGAGACCCAGAAGGTCGAAACACAGGTGTCTGCTGCTTTCCCAGAATTGCCGAAGCCTGCTGACTGAGAGTGGACCATGATGAATTAGCAGGAACATTTGGAAGAGAGGCACCAGGAGTTCATATAACCATTATTGGGGCTATGCAAGCCAGAACGTCACTAGCATATTTACAGCCCATGAAGTTCTATTGAATGGGAGGGGTTTCAACGTAGGCGGAGAATGGAAAGGGGGATAGGATGGCTCCCTGCAAAACACCATGGTTGGTTGGGAGTGCAGATTTTCTGCCGCATAGCTGCGTCAGTTCTGTGCGATTCGTGAAGTGATCACGTATCACATTACATACATATGGGAGGATGCCATTTTCTGACAAAAGGTTGAACAGTAATGATCTGTCGAGGCTTCTAAATGCGCTGGTGTAAGCAAGAAATAGGGGTCGTACGCTCTTGCATCCATTATCCAACGCCGACGCAATAGATTGTATCAGATATGAAACAGCATCCGAGTGCCCTGGTCTATAGTCAAGCTGTTTGACATCGTCAGCATGGTGGCCTGTGAAAATGTGGGGATCCGTTTTTCCAACACCTTTAACAGCACTGACGTGCATGTAATTGAGATCCTTTTTAGGCACTGGTGTCATTCTGGCTGATTTCCAAATGTCCGGGATAGTGCCAGCAGTTAAGCACCGATTTAAGATCTCTGTAAAAGGTGTCATTAAAACATCTGCACAATCTTTCAGAGCGACTGCTGATAGAGCAGCTGATCCTTTAGCTTTGTTTGATTTCAGTCTTATGAGTTCTTTGTGGACAATTGTGAAATCAAATGAAGTGGGAGGCTCAGCATTGGTGAGAGAATGAAGGGGGAGTTGATCAGGTGGTGAGCAGCTGAACTCAGTGTTGAGTTTCTCTACATCTTCGGTGCTCAGTGTTCTGCAAGAATGCTTCCCAGAGAGTTGTCTTAGGAGTCACCATAGGTCATGGCAACTATTGTTCCCCAAAACGGCCTGAATTTAGGGAGCGTTTGATCTTTTTATGTCAGCTTTTATAGCCAAGGGCAGACGCTTAACACGGGCAGTCAGCTTATGGTTATTTCATCCACAGTCGCTTGAGCAAAATAGATGAAAAGCTGTCATTTTGCAAATAGGCTGTTTCAACAGAGAAACACAGATCAAACTAGAAGCCTATATAGTCTGTGAGGTACTCCCACGGAGATGAAAAGTTTTCATTCAGGAAAGTTTAAAAATCAGTTAAAAACTTGATCTGAGTTTTTCGACGTTATCTGCTGAGCAGCAGTACAGGACGAACTTTTGTCAACGCAACCCAGTTGGCCTAATGTGCAATGCTCGGAATTACAAAGAGAAGCATGTCTTAGGGTAGAAAACAGGTCGAGCTTGTTAGTAGAAAAACTAAATCCAGATGTGCATCGAGTTTGGCGGGGAATTTCACCAAATTGTCTAAGCTTATGGTATTAATGGAAGCCATATCACTCCAACTGAAGTCACCGGCGAGAAAGCAGATGGAACATTCTAACTGTGACTGTAACTCCAAGGTAAGGTGATCTACGAACTCTTCCAGCTAAAACAACACAAAGTCCGGAGCTAAATACACGTTCCCAATCACGAGAGTTAGGAAACCGCTCAGAAACCTTGGTTTGCATCCCACTAGATGAAAGCTAATTGATGTTGTATACTCTGAGTTTTGGAACCGATTTACACCAACATCCTGCCAGTATGGCCATAAAAACCAGAGGGAAGTGATCGTAAAATGCCTATTTGATGGTCTCAAGGACAGCGCAGGTAGGGAATCAAGCCAACAGCGAAGAAAAAGCGATTCTTTTATCTGTCTGTGTGTCTACCAACTCTGAGGGGGCTTCGGAGTCGGACCACAATGGTGCAGTCAACCAACGTGATCCATTCGGGAGGGGGGTATGCCTTAAAAGAAAACAGCTAGACCGATTTTCACATCGAAATATTCGTGGGCATCGTCAAAAACACGAACCTTGTGAGCTTAAATTAATGAACATCTATTCGATAAACACGGATACATTAGAACGTTCATATCCTGAACATTCGTTTCGGAGGTGTGAAATTACACAGGCACATTTATGCAACCGGACAGTAAGTGGTTTATTAAACCCAAGAAAAGTGGCAGAAATGAAGATGCGAGATTGATTTAAACTCGGCCGTAAACTAAGTGGCTATTGAATACTTATTGGCTTTTAATAGGTTAAGAACGGGCAAGGAACCATGAAAAATGAGTCGAACAGCTGTTAAACCGCGGGTCGGCCAATATGTTTGTCGTTGGCGATGTACAGGATGGTGAGGAGGAGACTACGAAGTTTGTCCACTAGACCCACTATTACCACAGTCCCACAAACATTAGGTAGAACGAAATATCTGACAAGAGGTGATAAGGAAGTAACATCAAGAAAGGCTTCTAGCCTGGAGCTGAAGAAAAGGAAAACAAGGCGGACAGGACCCAATGAGCGTAACGAACAAAAGAGCACCAAATAAGAGAGTAGAAACAGAATCGAAATCTTCCGAGTCCACTAAAAGTGACTAACCTTCGCAAGAACACTAGCAGCGCTGACGATCGGGTAGGTATCATCCGCTTTGGTCTCCACGCACACCTTCAGAGTGGGAAAAAGAACCTGTAGTTTGGCCTGGTAGTGTTCGGCTTTTCCAACAGTGTCGACAAACACCTGAAGGGGATTCCAGTGATGGGGGGTCAAAAGACGAGGAATGACTGGGTAAGGATAAAAGAGCAGGTGGCAGCAGCGAGATCAGCCCCATTCGTATAATAACAAACGTGTGTACCAAAACATGGAGAAGTATGAAATGCACATTTTGAGAATACTGGAAATAGAGTGCTAGTAGATATGCGTGTTATCGTAATTAGTTCGGGCACATGCGCATTCAGGGCACTGACTCCTGAGCATTTGCTGCATATTACAGCTGCGCCATATGCTATTCTGGTGCGATGCACTCTCTGGATCTGAAATCCGCAGTGTCCAGAAATTGTTTGAATTCCGACACCAATTTCGCCTCGACAATTTTCGCAGGCAAACTGTTCACCACTCGCCACTTGAAGCATAGAGTGTGAGGTATCCGCTTTAGGTCCGGTACCACAAGGTTTTATCGGTGCGCGCGAGTGCCGTTTGGTGCGCGTTCGTGAAGCAGCGACCTCAATACTGGAAAGAGACGAGATGCAATATCATGTACGTCATGAGGCCAACTCTAAACCGACGATACGACAGGGTGTACAGCTTTAGTCGTATGCCCCCCAGATTGAACAGGAAGGATGTGTAATACCATAAGGTAACAGAACGATAACGGTTGCAAGAGTGGGACACGATCAGATCGTATGAAGGCAGTGCCTCGTAACTGATGAACCGGGCAGTCTAATAGTGAAGACGTCCGGCAGTCCGAGGAAGCGAGGCAAGCAACATTAAGTGAAGCATACAACGGCAAAATGCTTCTACTCAACGAACGACAACATGGTGCAAACTGTTAATTAGAATCTTGTGTCGCAAAATTTGTCGAAGGATGCATGGAATGAATTAAAGGGTAAAGCCAACATAGTTAATCAGGCAGCCTGAAAAATTGTATCCGTACCAGCATCGCACCAGACCAACATCTGAATCCGCAACAGAACGCTTAAACGGCTCACAGAGGAGACGAGCTATTTAGGAAACATCGGAAACCCATGTGATAGCGAAGGGGAGAACAGCAAACAGCCAGAAATTACTGCACGTCATTTATCATAGATGATAGGTAAGAATGGCATATACGTTAATAAGTAAGCCAAAATTATGTCACTAGTATGTGGACGACATCACAAAGGATAAGGTAAGAAGGTCACAACTTAAGACGGACAGTATCCCAATAACTACCACTATGGATACTGCGGATATCCTACTCCTACAGTTGGGCTTCGTGGCTACACAAGTCCTGGATACTTCACTCCGTGCAAATAGCACCTGTGTATTTAGCATCACTTTGATCCCAGCAACTGTCTCAAGCAAACTGCAGATCCTCCGAGAAAGCAGTGCCCCTGGAATTGACAAGATTTATCTAAAGCTTCTCAAAACCCTTGCCCTCACATGAGCAGCATCTTTTACCGCCATTTTTCAGCGTCTACTTGAATCCCATATACTAACGAGTATAAAAGTGGGATAAACACTCCGATATGCAAATTAGGTGAGTGATCGAATTCTGCAAACTATGGACCCACTAGCTTTCTTCTTATTTTATGAAAAGTAAAGGAGTCGATAATCGCAGACGAACTGACGTGGCATTTTGAAAGACTATAAATCATGGACAAACTACAACACGGTTTCAAACGCAGGCGATCGCCTCATACTAATCAATTTTTAGCTCGCGAGTCATGGACCAAGGTGACTGATAATAGTCTCTCTATAGAATGTCCAGCAGTCGTATAAAAAGTCTAAAATTTTGCAAGGAAAGTTCGAAAGTTTGAAAGGAAAGTCCAAAATGTTGCAAAACCCTGTGCGATTCGCCAGCCGCTCATAGCCAGTCCTCTGACCTTAAGTGTGTTCTCGTTGGCCTGATGCCAAGGTTCGGTGCGTTAGTCAGGGGAGGTGAGCGCAGTGCTTGTTGACTGGGTGAGACTTGTGAATGAATCTTAGATGCATGGACTTCGGCGGTGCAACGGGCTTGTATGCGCCCCCCTCACGTCCGCAACGGTGGATCACAATTGGTCTGAGAACAATGAACAGCGGGAACATAAGCGCACGACCGAAACCATGTCGATGGTTCTAACGTTGTCGGCATGCATTCTCGCGTTCGACAGAGTATCACATCAGACATTCGTGACCGAGTTTTGGGCGCCTTCGTCAACGGTGATGACTGGTAGCCGGTGGCAACTGTGAACAACATAAAATATCAAACAGCCCACTCCTGGATTCGTCGTTCTCTTGATCAGAAGCCGCGTACTACGCAGGCGGGCGGTCGTAAGCAGATCCTGTCGGAGGAAGACGTAGATGACATCATGGATTGAATCGCAAGGGACTCAACTCTTACGCTAGGGGAAATGCGAGTACGAGCAAAAATGGACAAGGACATTTCAAAGTCAATAATCGCACGGCACCTGGATGGTTGATTGATAACTATGAAGAACACCTATCAGGTTCCCGAGGGAATAAACAATGAGCGAACCAAAGGGATACGCAGGGAATTCGTTCAGCAGTTTCTCTAACGTGGGAGCGATAGCAGGTTCTTCAACTGGGTTGACGAAGCAAACTTCAACGTTTACTGCAAACGTACTCGTGGTCGGGCACCAAGAGAAGTGAGGGCCTGTTGCAAAGTTGCCAACAGTAGAGACCACAATTTGCATTTGATCGGTGCACTCACAATGGAAGGGAAAGTATCGATGACCACCTGGAGAGGCTCACTCACATGTTCCCTTTCTCACGAATGGCTGCGAAGCCATGTAGACAACCTGAAGCGGGAGATGGAGCTCCGGCAGGTTTTCGTGTTGTGTGATAATGCACCATGTCACACAGGACTGGAAGAACTGTCGTCAGTAGATGGATACGAGGGAGTAACCAAACTGAGATTGAGCCCATACTCTCCGTTCCTCAATCCGATGGAGAAGGTTTGGCAGGTGGTGAAGGTCAGAGTGAAGAATGAGATGAGGGTGTACTACGAGGAACTTCTGGCCGGGGATCCCCAGAAACTCATGACGCATATAGAATGAAGGCTGCAGTTTCTTGAACGCATTTGCGGAGATGCCACCAAGGATATCAGCGTTGTGGGATGTCGTCATGCTATTCGACATATGCGTGTACATTTTACTAATTGTCTAGAAAAAATGACATATTTTGATCACGTTGCTGGCCTATTTTTTACGTATCTGTTTGTATAGCACGTTACTGGCAGCGCGTAGGGACGTGTAAGTATTCCCAGTGTTTTCAAAATATGTGTGCACATACGTAAGTTTGTGTTCGTAGGGGGGTTGAAGCGATTTCTGATGTCTAGCGCAAGGGAGTGACACGGGACCGGCTTCCAGTGAGCCATGCTCGAGTGATATGTTCAGCTTATGGTCCTTTTCGTGCTGGTATTCGCTGCGCAGTACTCTTTCATGATCAGCCTGTGATAATGTAGATACAGTTTCTTTGTTCGGAAAACTAGGATATTTGGAAAGCGCATTGTAGGACCAAGTGAGCTTGTCGGGTGTAGCAACCGTCAGATATATCACAGTATGGGATATCAGCGTGGATACTTGAATAGTAGTGAATAAGAAATTACTGCGCACGTCATGTCAGCCCTTTCCAAGAGTGAGCGGAATTGATAGATGCGCAGATGCGAGTTCGCAAACGCGTTCACTGCCAGAAAAGATGTCGTCATTGAAGATGAACGAATGAATCGCATATCTAATGGAAACCGTCCCTGTGTGATGTTCGTCCACTGTGTTTGAGTGCACTGGCGCGTTAATTCGTTACCAGATTGGAATTTGGTCTGTCAAGTTCGGAACCCACATCAGCCGGTTCGGAAGCTGCACTTTAGATTTAAAGGCAACCATTCCTACAGCAAGCCCAATTTAATTTGCGCGCTAGAGGCCCGAATAGCCGTCCAGCACGACATGGATACTGTATGAATTGTCCGGATGAGCCCTCGTTTGATCCAATAGCGTGCGTAGACAAATGGGGTGTGTAGTCGGCGTGGATACAGTGGCGTAGCAACTACTTTTGCTGTCCGTGGTGGACGTACAATTGATGCCATTCTCGCAGTTGTAAAGCCCACAATTAAAATTGCCATTCAATATTTCGTTTCATATAACAACAATTACAGATTTGATGTTAGAGTGCTGCCGTGAACGCAGCTATTTGAATTGTTAAAATACTTGTGTTCAAAATTTACCGGCACACTTATCATACACTACTTGAAGACGTTGGCATCCGAGCTGAATAAGCGCTCATCGAACGCAACTGAACATCATTGGTGGAAAATCTGACAGACGTTGTTAGCAGCGGGTGTCTTAATGTGGCAAATAAAATCGCCAACCTTGATATCGGGTCACTACGCAGTCTCAGGAAGTTATAGAGGCAGAATCGGTGCAGCGTTGGTAGGTACGCAGCTTTCGATTTACTAACTTGCGTGCTGAGTTTCTTTAGTTCAGGTGGTGGGTTTGCCATCGTGTCTCAAAGCATATCATTTATTTACCTCCTCTTAGACTTTACCTGATTTTTCACACATTGCTTAAACTATATATATATATATATATATATATATATATATATATATATATATATATATATATATATATATATATATATATCCTTGTTAGAAGGTGCATGTGCCGAGAATTCGAGTGCGTACGCCTGTCGGCTAGCGATTGTCGTGGCAGTGTTGACTCGATCGAGCTCGTAATGATACTTTTTGAGAGTTATCTTTAGTCTTCTGAGGGCGTTGAAGACAGATGATACTGACAGGTTTATGCCATTCTCTCTCAGGCGCATCTGTAGCTGCACCAACGTGTCCTCAGAGTGCCGTTCAACCGCTTCTTCGACGCGCTGCAATACATTGAGAGTCAGATTCTCCCTATTGTTTCCACCGCAGGTGCGCTGTGTATTTGAGCCTTCTCGCTTGTAGGCATTAATGATGTTCCTTGCCGTACTCGCGTTAACACCGGCGACTTCAGCGGCTTCCCGAGTAGTTTTGCCGTCGACCAGCACAAGTTTTGTGAGAATTTCTCTTTGCGCAAATGATGTTCGCCTGCAGTGCCGTCGCGTCGGACACCAGCTCTCCTGTTGTTCGTCACTCATTTTGGTCGTTTTGTGCGGCACGGAGTTAATAAAGCTAAGTTGTGTTGAGTGGAACCATTATCTTATGCTCGGCTCCAATAGTGGTACCGCTGCATAGGTCAGTCCACACACCCAGACAAAACACACGAATTCCTATGGGGGGGGGGGGTGTAGGGGAAAATAGGTCACCGATTTTGACCGAGGCGAACGGCACTCATGTCAAGAGAAGGGCTTACACAATCACCCGCTACGTACACAGTTCGGTTACATTATCGTGACCACAATGTGGCCTGAACATCGTGTAATCTGCCCACTCCTCAGTAGTTGATATGTTGCAACAATAGGCTATAGATGTAGACTGGTTTTGCTGGCGGGTCATTACAGCCTACGCTGATACAATAACGTGGCAGTTGCGAAAGCTAATAGAGAGACGGGCGAAGCTGGGACACCGCCTACCTGCTTCATCCGACATGGTCCCATTGACCGAATCGGACAAGGTTCCCTCTAATGAGAATAATGGTGCACATTGAGATTGCGCATCGCAATCCACTCACAAAATGATTGATACACAATTACGATTCGGACGTCCGATTTTCCAATTGTCACACACCTACACAGGTTGATGCGTATGGGCACTGCACACCAACTAGGCGAATGTCAATGGGGAGAGGGGAGCGTAGTTCAGAACTTCGGTCGCTGCTCACGATCAAGCAAATGTTTTACAGTGTAGCCCGCTGCTTACACAATGCAGGTGTATTAACGTCATCACAATGTATAATCCGAACATCATTCAGCAGTCTTACTGCTCGTTTCTTACCAACAAATTGGCGAGTTGCTACTTGGATTGCAACGTGTCCAATTTGTTTTGCAAAATGTCCAGTTTGGTTTGCAAATTGTCCAATGTGGTTTGCAAAATGTCCAATGTGGTTTGCAAAATGTCCAGTTTGGTTTGCAAAATGTCCAATGTGGTTTGAAAAATGTCCAATTTAAAGTGAAAATGGTATATATATATATATATATATATATATATATATATATATATGCTGTTAGGAAGCCGCTTCTGCATGTACGCGCACCAAGCAGCGCACGCGGGCACCGATAAAACCTTGTGGCACCGGGTCTGAAGGGGATAGCTCACCCCTTATGCTTCCAACGTCGAGTGATGTTATAGTGAAATGATTTGTCCGAGAAAATAGTCGAGGCGAAGTCCGCATCAGAATTCAAGAAATTCCTGGACGTCAACATTGAGGAGCACAGATTTCGAAAGCGCATCGCACTTGTATAGGACGTCGGACAGTCGAACTGCACTGATGGGGAGTGGTAATAAATGATGTTATTCAGCACGCGATGGAGTAACACAGATATATATGCTCTCGCGCCGTATTTTCAGTATTCAGTATTTACCACAAATAGTGTGGTAATCTGAAGTGTGGGAATGCAAAGAGGATGTAAGTACTTCAAAAACCCACAAGATATCTCAATGGATGATGCGGAAACGCTAAAAGATGGGGTTGCACATACACGTTAGGAACGAGGGTGGATGTTCATAAAGCAAAGTAGTCGATTCGAAGCTTACCTCGGTCAGGTGAATCCCGTTAGCCAAAACAGTTTGAATCAGTTCGATTGCAGAATCGTGGGATATTGTGTTTAGGTTCGTTTTATACCTGGTGGGGGGGGGCAGGTAAAAACATACGCTAGGGTCTAAATGGGAATCCTGTGGCTTCTTGCTCCGAATGCAAGCTAAGTAAGAGAAGTAAGGAAGTGTAATGCTAATGTGTTGCAGTAGAATACTAAGACGCTTAAGTGGTGCACAGCACTGGATGAGTTCGCATAAGGTTACAGGTCAGTAGTTAATATAAAATCAAAAGATAGAACTTGTTTTAAAATGTGTTCGGTGTTGCTAACCTGTCCAACATTTTGTCGCTGATGAAAACAGGACTGATGACACGAACAGCGCCACTGATCCATTCGTTTTTAAGGACAACTTCGGTCAACAAGCGTTCTCGTTGTTGCTCGGACAACACTTTGGAATCTGAAAAAGCAATAGTGCCCACAAATTGAACGAATCTTGGTAAATGTAGAGTGGAATACTCAGAAATCAAAAGAGTAGGTTTGTTAAGGTACCACAGTGCAGTTAATCGAAACTACGAAAAACTGATGGAATATATAAGTAAAAAAAAAACAAAATCAACCCACAGCAAAAAGTTCACTGTTGTAGTCCAATCCTCTTACGGGTTACTGCTGGTAAGCGGAAATGAGCAATGGAGAGGGGAATGAGAAGGACACGTATCTAACATCGAAAGACACACAATGGACCTCACAGACTACCCGGAGAAAGAAAAAAAGAAGAAAGGTGTCAGCTTATACGCCGTAACGGCGCTTCGCTGCCGCGCGACCACCACCAGTCGTGCGCGGGCTGAGTATACCGCGAGGACGCCCACTCCTACGCGGAGAGACTACCCGGAAGAAATGACAATGTTTGTACCGGTGCTTAGAACCAGTGAGCAAAAAAACTTAGTTTAATGTGTGAACGGTGATTGGTAAACCCAGGTCACCAAATATCAGGTCGCATCATGAATGTAAAATTGAAGACAAAAAATAACGATAACCGGGACCGGGACAAGCTAACGAGTGGTAGACGAGAAAAAGTTGAATAACCAGCTGAATGCAGATTCAGAACCGTTTTAAGGGTATGGAATTCAGGTTAGTCGAAGATCAGCGGTAGCAATTCCATAGCAATGCGAAAGGGAAGGCATCTGTCAGTAGAAACTAATAGTAGGAGGGACAACGAATTTATTGAGCAGATGTTTCCGAAACAGTTAAAGATTGACGGGACTTATACCCTCGAACAGTCGGACGCGATCCCAAAGTAGTGGTGCTCCAATCTCAACAAGTTGTTTAGTAAAAAAACCATAAATGAGACAAAGGTGATAACATCAACCCTAGGCGATCAGTGATGTAGTAATTTAGTTGTCAGACGTGCAACTATTGTGAACCGGTGTACGAGACCACGCTCTTGTCTGAGTTCGACCTGTAATCCGATGGCGTAAGTTCCAGCTTGCGTAGGGACCGGGCTACCCTCGCATTATCCTCAGTCCATGTGCGACTGGTGGTGGTTGCGCGGCGGCGAAGCGTCTGTGCTGCGTTGCGACGTAATGCTGATGACTGTTCAAGTTCGGGTGTCCTGGCACTATAAGAAATCGCGTACAACTGCATGAGGATGCAGCGCAGCGTACTGCTGAGAGCTTTCTATGCACAAGATACGAAGTGAACTGGCTGCAAAGGGAGACAAACAGCCTATTGACAAATACGAGGAGTGTCGTTCCATCGATGAAACGTGGAACTTGGGTGTTACGACCAAAAGTGGTAGTGGTGGTGGTGGTGGTGATGGGAACGATCAGTCACTGAGCAGTTAGAGCACATTTCTCTACAAAGGAAGCAAAATGCGCCGCTGCATAGACACATGTCATCTAGCCAGGGTTGCGGAATACAAGCATGATACTTATCTTCAGAGAAACGCGGGTTAAACAAGTGGCCGATGGCTGCAAATGCAGTGGGTGCACACATTTCAAATACCCAATGTTCGCTGGACTATCCCCTCACGCATACCGTGTGTTGTAACGCAACATCGGCATAGAGTAGAGTGTAAAGCCCAAGAATGATCGCACAAGCAAGACTTGTCGATATATGGAGTCAAAATAAAAACAGCAGCGTATCCATAATGTGTAGTGAGGCTTCGCTGTTATACAGCCAAAGACCCATGCCCAAGAGGAATGATAACGAGGGGAGCACTGTATATAGAACAAACGGCCAGGTAAACGCACAGAATCAAGGTGCCTATACCTTAGCAAGAACGTACGGTGACAAACCGCGGTATCTGTGAGACAGCTTTTTGTACCCTTCATCACGCGGATAACTTAGCACCAGAGACACGTGGGAAAAGTAGACTGGCCATAAAATGATTGTAAAGACATCACTGTTACTGGTAGTGAGCCAAGTACAAAGTGAGGTAAATGAAAAGGGATGCAAGGCGGGAAAACAGCACTCAAGCTGGAAGACAGTGAATTCACTTCACGCCGCAAGATAAATACCTAACCAATCCAACTTCGCACCCAGCCATTAAATAGAATAAGGCCTTTCATCGAACGCACGGGAACGGACACGCTTCATGTACCCGAACCAGTAATGAATTGCTTTCCTGTGTTGATTAAAGGAAACAATCTGACAGACACCGCTTAGTAGACATATGCATCAATTAGCGACAAGATGGCGTCGTAAAGAATAATGATCAACAACATAAAATCACTTGAGATCCTCAGAGAGAAAGAACTCTTTCATTCCTACAGACATAACGACTATCACCGCGGTCTTACCTATACGATCTCTGAAAGAAAGCCCTCTTCCTACATTAGACACTAAAAATTCACAAAGATAGTACTGATCTTCGGAATACGCAAACTAATAACGTTTAGTTTTGACAGTTTGTGTACATTACTCGATGGGACTAACAGAGAATTGCCAAGCAGGATGCTCTGGCAGAACACAGAGAAAGTCCAAAATAAAGAATTAGACAGCACGGATAGAAGCGCACTCCAACTTGGTCAATGTCTGAGCTATGTTGAAGCTATAAAAAGGAAGCGCCAACAACAACAACAACAACAACAACAACAACAACAGTACATCAGTCATTTGAACCGATGAATCCGTACCACATAACCACGATGACCTATGAAATAAAGAATCATAAGCAGAGAAGCGGCTTACCTTAAAACATTAAGGCCCTAAGCAAACATTCAGGGTCAAGGCACCTACACCTTGTGTTAACAACATACCGTCACAACCAGCTTGCTATCGTGCAAAGATAAGGCGGCATCGGCGAGACAGCTTCCTTGCGGCTTCCACTGCCCCGCGTCATGATCAGCCATTACCCATTACTCTGCATTTATCCATAACTGCACAAGATGCACAGTAAGTTCTGTCTATAATACCTCACAGTCAGGACGAAAATGGACAAAACGACAGTAGAAACTCCCAAGCTGACCATCTTTGTAGGTTGACAACCACTTGGGCCGTAACAGTTACTACTAATCTAACCTATAAAAGTTGACCGTGTGAAGGTCTAGTGTGAAATGGTCGCCGATCGTTTGTTCAAGCAACAGTGTGTAGCGAGATTTCGCAACGTGCGAAATTCTTCTGATCCACTACAACTGTACTTGACTGCTTCGCAGACAATGTACGGTACAGCATGTTCTCTGTCTGTGTACGTGCGCACGTGCTTCTAACCCGCTCCAGTGTTCACGTGCGTCGGTAGTTACCTCGTAGGTGTCCCTAGGGGTCCGCGTCCACAAATGAACTTTGACCACTTTGTGTTAAATGTTTCCATACACAAGCACGCATCAGGCCTACTTGAAACATGTACCCACGCACTTCAAGGGAGTTTGAGGGCTGTATGGGACGCACACTGGATGGCCCAATCTTATCAAAACGAAACCCATAAATACGGCGTCGGTGATCACGCAGAGGCCATCAGAAAGTACGCACAAACTGCACACTCGACAATGTCCTCTATTATATCCGCTCATCTTAAACATTAGAGGATATATTCATCCCGCGTCAGCAAAACATCTGGTGTCATTGGGACTCTCGACCTTGGATACTTCCGATCTGTGCATTTCCAACATCCGAGGAACCATACGCGTGTATCATGTTTATCTTCGAGGTGCAGTCTATCAAGCACAATCACTATGACAACACAAACACTGACAAGTACTGGACGTGCGGTCCTTGACCAAGTTCCTCGAGTTTTATTGAACCATTTGCATAATATTATGTCGGAGCATTCGTCGCACTTTGGCAAATGTCTGTACTGCTCATTTCTCGAGCCATACATGCATTTGTCAAAAATAAATGTTCCTCGATTAGCCGATTCTGACTTTTACTCCACTGATCGTTAAAAGTTATTCCGCGCTATTTGTTGTCTGCTTGAGAGAGTAAACAGTTAGGGTTTGTTGTTATAACTGACTTTCTGTAAAAGAAGCACAGTTGATCTTGGATGAACTCCGTGCTCTGAACAATTCGAGATCGGCTATTACGCCCATCGAAGCATTATGGCCAAAAGGAAAGAGTACGAAGAGGTAACGCTGAAGAAGATTAATAAGCTACATTTCCTGGAAAACCGCAGCCAAAGAAAGACGGAAGAACAGTTTAGTGTCAGCAGGACAACAGTTAGGAACATCCAACGGTATAAGATACGATAATGAAAGAGATCTACAGCGGAAGAGGCGGAAAACTTCACATGATGAAGTCAATGAAGCTACGCTGCGCTGGTTCAAACAAATGAGAGCAGTTAATGACCGAATCTCCGGACCGATAATTCAAGAAATTGCTAAAAAAAGTTACACAATAATTTGGGGTTGTAGATTTTCAAGCATCATTTGGTTGGCTAGAAAAATTTAAACTGAGATATAACATTCACCAAAGTCATGTGTGGTGAATCTAATGAAGTTACTGAAGAGTTTGTACAAGAATTCATTGAACATTTTCCCGACTTCAGCAACGGTTTCAGCGATGGTGACATTTTTAACGCCGACGAGTGCAGTCTGTTTTACAAAGCGATATCTGGCAGCAGTCTTGTTATAAGGAGTGACGAATATAAGAGCGGAAAGCCTACCAAAGAACGTTTAATAGCTATGCCGTGCGCTAGCTCAAGTGGAGAGAAGCTAAAGCTTTTAGTCATTGGCAAGTCAGCTGGACCACATGTGTTCGAAAATCTGAGTTCTGAAAACCATCTAAACAAATCTGCATGGATAACTGCTGTCGTATTTGACGAGTGAATAAGAAAAATCGACTGAGAAATTATGAATGAGAAACCACTCATTCTATGACAATGGATAATTGTCGCAATCATATCCATGTCGACAATTACAAGAACACTGAAATTGCAGCCTCCAGGTATGACCTCAAAAAATCAACCTCTTGACCAAGGAATCACTAAAAGAGTCAAAACACATTAACGGGCTCAGATCATGCAGTGGGTTATAGCGAAAATGAACCCCGATGATATGCATGCGGCAAGAACTTCATCTACAGCTTTAGTTAATGCTCTGGATGCTGTGTTTTGGATATGTTCCGTTTGGCATAGAGTTCAGCCAGAAACAATACGAAGTGTTTCAAGAAAGCTAGAATTGTTGAAATTCTCGAGCAGGACGCCATTGGTTTAATGGACATTACATCTCCCATCACAGATTTGGAATGAATAGTTTTTGAACAGTTTGCTAAAATGGATGATGACTGCAATCTGCACTGAACCAAATTCAGGTTATATTTTCAAAGAAATATTGACTGTGGTACAGCCCTACGGGAAGCAACAAGAAACGTCTGATGATGAGGAAGAACTAAGTGAAGATGACATGTGAACCACAGAAGCCTCAAAAGAGACTGATGCCGGGCAGTTTTAAATGCAACTGAAACCATTTGCTGTGGAAAAATGTCCGAACATGCTGAGTAGTGTATCTTGCGCTGAGCGCTTTTTCAGTTACCTTTGTAATAAGAAACAAATATTGACATTTCTTCAAAAAATGATCTACGAAATGCACTGCGCTTTGGTTTATAATAGCAACGTATGGTTCAATTACGTTTGCTGTTACATGAGACCTCGTCTAGTGTGTTCGAAACTAGTTTACGTGAAAAAAGTTCATGATATACCACTCATAACAGGGAAGTAGGTTACACTAAGTATTGGCATAGAACCTCAGTATGTTGACCAGCTCTCTATGTTGACCACTTTGGTCTAGTCCCTTGAGTGGTTAACTTACGGAGGTTCCACTGTATATCCAACTAAGAGCAGTCGTTGAGATATATCCAACAAGGTAAGGGAGCCTGTCTGCTGAGGCAATGCAACAGAGAAATTTCGCAATGAAATGCCGTCGCTAAACCAGACAACCGGTTAGTACACAACCGGTAGTCATAAGCCGAGCGTTGCTAACGCAGCTGCCAACGTAGGTAAATTGATCAAGTGTATCGAGTTCTTCGTTATCAACAGTCAATGGATCCACAAGTGGTCGACAGTCATGAAACAGTACTGCAATTGGAATGTGCAAGGCGTATGCTGTGGTTGACTGCGCTACTCTAACATCGTTAAAACCAACACATTACAGTCCGCATAATCAAGATCAACTAGTTCTCGTCCACGCCGCATTGACCGCATTTTCACCATACGTCGGTTGTTGGAACACCGCCATATTTATTGGCGACCCATCGTAGTCGTGCTTTACGATACCGAGGTATCTTCGATTCGGTGAATCTATGTGCCATTGGAGACCGCCTGCTCAGGAAAGGTGTACCCGAGAAATATGTCGATATTATCATAGCGCTGTACGCGCAAATTTCGAGAGTATGGCGAAATGTCGCCGCCATTCAATATCTCCAGCGGTGTGATACAAAGTTGCCTGCTGTCACCTTTCCTCTTTAGCTTCACCATTGACGAAGTTATGGAAACGGCGTTCACTAGGCATAACATACAAGGAGTTGAGCTGCTTCCGGGTGAGCGACTCTTTGAATTGGAGTATGCCGATGACAATGACAGCTCGTATACCAGCCAAACTGCACTAGATAAATTAGCTCTGGCTGCCAGTCGTTTCGGGCTATGCATTGCTCCCTTGAAATGGAAAGTCCTTCTCCAAGATTGACAAAAACCCACTACTGCGCTGACGCTTGGTGGTGATCAGTTAAAATTGGTCCAGAAATTCGAGTATCTCGGCAGTTAGATTAGCGCCGGTGGGGTCGAAGATGAGATCATAAAGCGTACAGCAGAAGCTCGAGGCGCTTTGGTCAATCTCAGACATATGTGGCGCCGGCGTGATTTCACTCTCACCCTGAAGGGCGTGATGGGAATGTCAAAGCAGAGTGAACTGATGGGCCAACCGAGTGAGCTAGACAGCCAATAGGAGAAGGGCGTAACGGATTCGATTACTAGACACGAACTGGCCGATATGCGTGTAAGTTATCGTATGTTTAACTAAGTCAAAGGAGGAACCTCATCGACTCAGAAGAGTCGTTAGTTATGGACATGAATATGCAACTTATATCAAGGAGTTTGGCTTGCCAAATATGCTGTAATTTTCGCCGAGTTGACATTGCTGAATAAACGCGTCTCTGAAGGAACGAGTTCTGCAACAAGGGGCAGAGTTTACAACGCAGCCGTCCGTTCAACTCTCCTGTACGTAGTCGAAACCTGGGCTATCAGATCGACAACTGTAAAGAGGCCTGTTACGCTCAACCATTGCTGCCTTCACAGGTTAGCTCACATCTGGTGCGAACACCGTGTGAGCAATGAACGTGTTCGTGTCGTGTATATGGGGCAGGGAAAGCTAGTAAAACGCTGGGCACAGATTTATAACGTACTAGGCTCCGATAGCTGGGCCACGTGTTGCGCATGCCAGCATACTGATTCCAGCAAAGTAGGTTATCTGCGTGACCGGGGTCGGGATGGAAGAGGAGAAGAGGAAGCCAAGCGATGACTTGGTAAAGAGGAATGAAAGCCTTCACTTCGAAATTGGCGTCTCCCGACTGCGGGATGGGGTCCCAAGGTCGATGAACTCGTTTTATTGAATACACTTGTTGACATAGCGAGCGGCCGACCTTAGTAGCAATTGTGTTGAACTTTTGTGTCCCGTTCCCTTCCTTTTAGTTCCCCCTCTGTTACGTTTAACACCTTATCTTTTATGTATTGCGGCATAGCTGAGGTGTGTTTCTCACTCTCAGCTATCGTGTACTGAGGGTGAGGACGAGTTTCCCCCACTGGCCGCGAAGACAGCCGGTCGAGATTGTGGCTCACTTTGTTAATTAGGTCAGAGAAAGCACCAGCGGTTGCGAAACACTAATCATTTCTTGCAGGAGGCATGAAACTGACCGACGGACTGTTAATCACTTGTGTTGCCTAGATACTTGCATATGTCTTGTGAATACCGTGCACAACTGGGTGACGCTCCAAGGTGGCCGATGGGCGATATAAAGGAACTGACCGAAAGATTGAGTCAGATTCGTGCATGCCGTCTTCTGAGAGAAGAGCATTTGAATCGGCTACATGGCTGATTCGAAACAATAACGGGATTGTAGCAATCGAAAAGTGACACTTGATCCCTCGTATCTGACATCCAGCGCCACATTGTTACCTCGATCTAAGCTTACATTTAAGTCCATTTTTCACATTCATCTCTTCCAGAGGTTTGATTGTTAATATGACGTGGTTAAGAGCAGCACCTATTCCATCTTAGTGAACCGGTCACAGTCAAACAGCTCATCTTTACCCCAGTCTATTGGCACTCAGGAAGAGAGCCAATAGTGTTTAATAGTCAGTTTACGTTTAAGCCACCTAACTACATCCTAACTAAAACACAGGCGTTTATATTGGTATAGTGGAGAAAAGCTAGTTAAAAACATCTACATAATGCAACTAGAACCGTCGACCATCGAGTACAAACACAAGCATGTCGACCCTGCACAAAGAGGCAGGTAGAATAAGGTACAAAAACAATTCGCTAGGCGTATGATGAAATCATTTGCACTCATTCTGGATAAACGGATGAAAATACTACTCCGAAAATGACCGCTTTAGTGTAAATCCAGTTGCAGTGTGAGAAAGTGGAACATACCTGCAAAACCTAAAGTTTTGAGGGAATCGGACTTCGCCAATGGGCATAAAACGCAAGCGTAGACCATGGGGCCTAGTAACAAAGAGAGAGAGAGGAGTAGATCGTGAAAAATTAAGGAAAGCGAATAAAAGGAAATGGCTCACTACGATAAGAACACGCGTTAAAATGGAGCGAAACCTAATACTTTAACAACTACGGAATTCCACAGAACGAAGTTTGGATTCCAATCACTCCAACAAATAAGACCAAATTTTCATTTTTCAAGTACACGGGGAATTTAATCAAGCTGTTTCAAAGAAGCTGAGTCTGGTTTTAAGTTGTTTCGGTAAATGTGTGGTTGGTTTCCGAGATAAAAGTTCGTTCACATGGACAATGCACGTCACTGAAGCAAAGAAGTGCTAAGTCGGCTGAAGAAACTAGGCTACGTCAAGTGAATGCAGTGATAAAGGATCACAAACCAACCGCATCAGAGTAGGCAACAATGCAATGATTAAGCCATTATTCCTTGATCATACGTATCTAACTAACGCTCCCAGTTTTATTCGCTTGGTATCACCGATACACGCTTTGGCCCAAGGAGCAAATAACCAAAAACAAAATAAAGGAGAAAGAGTAGTTCTTTCGGACTTCAGGCCTCAACATATAAGAAGCAACCGATAGAGATTTTTCGACCAACAAGGCAAGAATCAGAACCAACTGTGTGGATTTGAGTGCGATAAACACAATAAGATTGGTGTACCGTCTTGCAATTAGCCCCATGTCACCACATAGACTGAAGTCAAAGCCGACGCTAATTGAGAACACTGTCATTTTTGAGCATCAGCGGCTGCGAAGCACCATTAATATCTGATAGAAGCACTGAGTGGCTAGTGAGCAAGACGTCAGCCGTTAACAATGAGGCCCCGAGTTCCACTCTCAGCCCAGGACATCTATAGCTGGTGAGTCCGAAGGAAGAAGAAAGCGGTCGTTGGGAGTCAGCATTGAGAAAAGCAACAACGAAACCCATCCACTGAGTGGCTAATACTGATGTGCGCCTGATAGTGTTTGTTACCGTGATCCCGATGTACAATGAACGAGTTACGGAACTAAAGTAGGCTGTACAGATTGGATCATGTCTTTTGCAAGATTGCTTACTGACTTCAAGTTGACTACAGGTCTGCAGTTAATGCCATATGGTAAAAATCATGAAGAAGCTAAAAGAATCCTACTAACGCAGGAATCGTCATTCAAGATGGGGCTCTTTGCAGCAACGCCGTCAGAAATTAGATACGGATCAAACGAAAAGTAATGAACACTATTGCATCGAACTGCTTGAGTGCAGCTGTTGGCCATTTCATCCGACAAGTATAGCTTTTAATCAATGTTTCTTCAAATAATTGCTGTCGGTTTGCATCTTCACTACAATTTGCCACTTGCATCCGTCACAACGAGGCTGGGAATTAACGCGGTGCGACGGTTTGCTTACCTCGCCGAAAAACTGGTGCGCTGGTGGGCCCCATGTCACCCTCCGCGGCCGGTGTGTGTCGGAAGTTAACGTTCGCGAGAAATAAGCGAGCATATGCATACAAACGAAGTACCCGCTCATCATTATCAGTACAGGAGCCTACATTTAGTCTCGGATTATGTCAAAGATTTCCTTACATTTTTACGATCGTTGACGTGCAAAAACTTTTTATCTGCACCGGTTTTCTTAGCAAATTCGGCCTTGTAATAGATCTGCGCTGTGGGAAGCTGCAAGATGATACCCGTTCGTTAACTGCCCCCGGCCAGCATTATGAAATTGATTTCATAGGACTACGAGCACATATGCCGAACGGTCGCCAAGTTCTGCAATGTTGAAGCATATCCCATCCCTTGTACTAGTGAATAATATCGCGGAACCCAAGCACGATGTGCAACATCATGTCGTACAACTGGTCCACTTGTGGCAGCGAAACCACGACTTACACCTGAAAAACTACAGGCATCTAAGAAAGAGTTCGAACACGTGTTTAAGCCCAGAATCATTCCTCCTTCAAATAGCTGTTGGGTATCTCCTTCACATATTGTGCTTAAAAATATTAGTGATTAGTGCCCGTGGTGACTATCGTGCATAGAACGCCACCGTTTCCGACAGATATCCGATCCCACATACACAAGATTTTTCGTTGGGATTGGCTGGAAAGTCGATCTTTCCCGAGATTGATCTTGTCATGGCGTACCACCAAATTCCAATGGTCCCGGAAGATATAGCAAAAACGGCAGTGATCACACCTTTTGGCATGTACGAGTTTCTTCGTGTGTCATTCGGTTTCCGAAATGCAGAGCAATTCTTCCAAGGCCTGATGGACCAAATTCTCCGTGGTCTTGATTGTGTCTTTGTTTACATAGATGAGATGGTTGCAAGTGCTTCGACCGAAAAACACTTAACACACCTACGGAAAGTTTTCGAGCGTTTCGAAGATCATGGTATCACTATTTACCATGGCAAATGCGTATTCGATCAACCCTGCACCAACTTCCTAGGTCGCTGGATCGATAATAACAAGATTAGTCCCATGAATGGAAACAGGAAAGCCATCGCCTCAGTCTACGCCATTTTATGGCATGTTTAACTACTGCGGACGATTTATACACGGCTGTATTGCAACTCTTCAGCCTTTAATTGATTTGCTCAAAAGCAGTCACAAAAATTCACGTCGACTCCAGAAGCCGAAACAGCCTTTAAGACGGTCAAGCGAAAGCTGAGCCGAGCCACTTATCTTGCTTACTTGAGAACAGATGAAAACGTCACTTTCATTCTCGAGACACGTTTCACAAACCACCGTTGGTATCGTTCTGCGGTGGCCGAGTGGTCTGCGCACCTGGTTTGCAGCCATAGGGTCCCCGGTTCGAATCCACGTAGGAGTGGGCGCCCTCGCGCGAATGGTGGTGGTCGCGCGGCAGCGAAGCGCCGTTCCGGCGTAGAGCTGACACATTATTATTTTATTATCGTTCTGTAGCATCTAAGAGATAAGGAGATTCAACCCTCGTCTTTCTTCCAAAAGCTCCAGCCTTCCCAGACCAAATACAGTACATTCGGTCGCGAGCTCCTTGCTATGTACCTGGCCGTCAAGTATTTCTGTCACAGCCTTGAAAGTGGACCTTTCATTCTCTTGAAGGGTCATAAATCTTGTGTACGCTTTTCGTGCAGTCTCTGACCGTTACTCTCCTAGAGACTCGACACCCGGATTATCTTTCACAGTTATGTGTTGACATTAACTATATTGACGGTACTAACAACCTTGGTTTTGATTTTGACATTTTGATTGGTGTGCCAATTTTCCCTTGTATTTGACTGTCTATGAATTCCGCTTGCATTGTGTTTGTAACTGATGAGAACAATCGAAACGTTGACATATCGCAACTTATGTTTTCTCACTGTTCTAACAATTTTGTCGCTGATGCACTATCCCGTGCATGCATCCACCAATTTTCATGTTGACCCATTAATCGTGAAGAAATGTTAGCCGCCAGAATGACACAGCTTTGATCGAACACTTCGTTGAAACTCTTAAAGTTGCCCGTGCTAAATGCAGTCGCATGAATATACTGCGACACTGCTACCAGTAAACTAACCTTTTATTCTGCAGTCCTACCGGCGAGTGGTTTTTGATCATCTTGGTAGACTACCGCATCCCAGTATGTGATCTACTGTGAAACTAATCGCCTACCAACATATATGCTCCAATATGCGCACATACGGCCGATAATGGGCTAAAAATTGTCTTAGTTGTCAAAGCAGCAAGGTTTGCCGACACGCTGCCACCACACCTGGTATTTTTTCATTCCGAGGCACGACGCAAACACATTCATTTTAGTGTAATATGACCGTTGACCATTTCGAACGGCTTCATTTATCTGTTGACGTGTGTTGATCATTTCACACGTTGGCCCCATGCGATTCCCTTACGCGATATATCCTCTGAAACTTTCGCCGGTGCTTTTGGCGAATAGTGCATCTCATTCTTCGGTGTGTTAGCCACCATCGCTACTGACAGAGGATCTCAACTCGGTTCCACCTTTTGTCGTGACTTGAGTCGTTTACTTGGTTTTACCCACTTCCAGACGACGGCCTGTCAACCTGCTGCTAATGACTGCTGAACGATTTCATTGACAACTGAAAGCCGTCATTACAGTCACTTCGCTGGATGACCGTTGGTTGAACGTCTTCCAGCTATTCTTACTGATATTCATAATACCGTCCCAGAAGATATCGGATGCTGCCCAACCGAAGTTGTTCTTGGCACAACCCTCAGGCTTCCAGGCGATTCATAGTGGATTGAATGCTACGTCCTAGGTTCAGCGCTTTCGTATTATAAAGCAGACATCTCTTCGTTTAAGCACGCGCGAACATATAATCTATCCGGACTTACACAGTTGTCCATTCAACTTTATCCGTATTGATGCTCTCCGAAGACCCTTCACACCGTCTTTTGAAGGTCCATTCAAGGTCTAATCGCGGAAACCGAAATACTCCGTTCAGGAAAGAATCCGTGAGCAACGACGTTTTAAACCCACGTAGATCGAACCAACAGCTGATAAGGTAGACCCAACGCCCCAAACTCAGAACGTTCCTGTTCCCAAGGTTTTGCTCACTGACAAACGTCTTACGGATTCCTATATATCGAGTACGCTGTACCTTCCAACAAACGAGACTATACATGCACATTCAGATTGTGCTGTCCCCTTCCTTTCAAAATTAGCGCAATATGTTCTACAAACGCTAAATCGAGTGTTGCTTAGCAGCGCATACTCTAGGGGGTTTTGTAGCGATTCTGAATATACTATGTCAGCTGTCTTTGTATCACTTCCGTTTCCGACCATTTTGTACCAATTGCTTAAATTACCGAGTTTGTAATACACATTTTCGAGCGCGCTCGTGTCGCGCTGATTTCGTTTGGTGCTGCTTGTCTTTGCGTTGTTGCCACGTCTTTCCAGCGGTCGGAATAGAGCTTCGGATTACCAGTAAGTATCTGACAGACGGTAACTGAAGGAGGGTTCACACCACTCGCGTACCTAGTCATTCCCTAACTGAGTTTTGGCTTAAGGAT